TCTTTTAACAAATAAACATTTCTTTCAAAACCAAAATAGCAACAGCATAATAGCAATATTATGGACACTCATTTGACTTTCTTATATTTCTAAATATCACAACATGTTAGAATCTAAGTCATTTATTAATAACAATGAATAGTTTCAAACTGCTACTGATATCATTATCATCAATATGTGAAAAAAGTTAATCCTGTTTTTTTTATGTTCTGTAGCTCAAATCCTGCTTAACTAAAAATTAGACACAAGAAGAGTATTATTGGACAATGTTGTGAGGCTAAAGAAATCAATAACAATATTAATTCAAAGATCTAAATATATTTAACACATTCGCCCGACATTAGAGGGTGTGTCCGCTTGCCTGCGTGGTGACGTCACCGACTTTCCCTCTGAACAGCTAGCAGGGACCTATGCCATGTAAATCCCTTTAGATCTCCCTTCAGATTTAAAAGGTTATTAATAATATCTTCAGTGTCGCATTAACATTGGAATGTTCTTCCAAGTTTAAAAAGAGGCGATACTCAACATGTCTCCTTCATACATTTTCAGTTTACAGACCATACAAGATCATTTTTTATGAATAATCATATCGCATTAAAATTGGAACACTTTTCACAGGTGTAAATCCACTTATTTTCTTACCGCTTTATCCAGGACAGGTAATAGTTTCACAACTCAACCTTCCCCCTGCCTGTCTGACTTTCTTTTTAACCCTTCTGTGCCCAAATCGCAGCAGGTGAGAAAGAAACAAAGTAAAACTTAAAGCATACACAAATGAAAATTAATATTCTTTACTCAACAGCTTTTTAAAAACAGCACCCAATGATGTTCAAATCATGATGTCTGTGATTTTTTTACACAGAAGACTGACACAGCTACTGTATATTTGGCTAGTGTGTATTGTCTGTTTAGGGTTCTGTAGCATTCCAGTTAATGTTGTGTTTGTACTTGCAAGGATAGCGATTAACATTAAAAAACATACTTGCTTAATACTGTCCAACTGAGCAATCTTGCTTTTATAAAATATACTGACTTTTTCATGTTTGATGTGTAAGATGCTGTAATACGGTTTAAAATGATTAAAAGTATAAACAGTATCAACTTGAATTATTATGTCTATTAATATAACTATCAAGTGGTATTAAATAAATACAGCTTTTTAGTATAGATTACACTTTTCTTAAAAAAAATTAAAAATAACGACTACAATCTAATCTTTCCACATTTGATCCCAAGAGGAATCACAATACGCTCCTGCTTTGTTTAGTGATGGTATGAAAAATAAATCTAAATGGAGAAAAAGCTATGCTGAAAGTTAATTAAGATACTTAGAAAACAAAAATAATGATTTACGTTGCATTGTCAGATTGTGAATCAATAAAGGCATTTAATTAATTAATCATAATTTAAAATGGGGCTAATGGAGACTCTCTTATTATTTCTCTCTTCTATCTCTTATTGTCAAAACTCGTTCAGTTGTGGTTCTTTTGGCTTCACGGAGGGCTTCTCACATAGTTAGGCATTCAGGTAGATTGGCAGGCAAAAGGATTAGTAAATATATTTTGTTAAAGTCAGTTTTTTGCGACACATAAAAGACATTTTTCCAGGAAAGATCGGATGACGAGAAAGAAAAATCACCCGTTTTTCGTGCACAAAAAGTGGTTATTAACTATCGAAATCTGTTTTTATCGCTTTTAAAGTCAAAAGCTTTTTAAGTCAATTTCTAAGCAGGAACACATCATTACATCTCATTTTTCATTTCTTTTTTTTAAATTAAAAAATTTGATTGCCCAGCCTAAGGGCGCTTATAATATTGTGGCATTATTATATAGGACGGACACAGTGACTCAGGCAGTCGTTGAATGAAAAACGGTGCTTTATTTTTCAGTACAGCTGGCATTTTTCAGCACCCCGCACTTTTTCATTGACAAAAAGTAATGCCACACTCTCTTGTTTAATGCACACAGGCAGCTGAAGCACCAAATCTCTTCCCGTAAGAATTCTTTGTCTCCATACTATGGCCGCTGTAGTGCAGGCTAGCTGATTTTTTGTAATGTGAACTCATCCCAATCCCTTGGTGTATTTATATTATATTCTCATATACGAGCAGAATAGGTTAATTGTCTTCCAATGAAAGAGAGGTTCCTTTCGCCTAAGACAGTCAGGAGACAGAAGAAACTCACCACACCCAGACTGTTACAGTAACTCAATCAAACTTAATAGCCTTGGAAATGAGATCACACTTTTGAATATATACTCAATGCTCCAGAGATGTCACACTTTACTGTACATGTCAAACTGGTTGCTTCCTATTGCAGATGTGCTCCAGCTGAGACTTTTTTCCTCATAGCACTTTACACTTAGTTTAAACTACCGAGTGAAATAGGTTTAATACAGGTTGGTAGCCGCATACAGCATGCGGAGGCTGCAAAGGAACAAGTAATAGGTTTATTCCATGCTGAAAACAAAAGAAAGACAACACAATGTTTCGGCCTTTTCAGGCTTCACTGTTCTGCTTCCTATGGTGATATATGGGTTTTTCGCACAAAGCTCTATTGATCAGTATTCCTCACGTTGTGAACGTGTGTACACAGCGGTCCCCCCGGGTTCCAGTTAGTCCGTAATTATGCATCAATTAAAAAAAGAGAATTAGCTCACTAATTTATGTGGAGGCTGTGAAAAGTTATGGTCTTTAAAATGCATGTGGTTTAAAGGCTTTCTGTGTTTCCCTTCCAAAGATATGGACAGAAGAATATTCGAGAGTGGTAAAAAAATGGCTTAAAAATGACAAAGTGAAGGCTGTGAAAACAGTCACCATGTACTTTGTACACACAGCAAATGTTTTTGTAACTCTAGGAGGTTTCGTGAAAAAGCTACAGGCATGCCAATTGTTTTTATTTTTAAATACATTTTAGAAAAGTGTCATCTATACAAAAAAGTTGCATTTAATACCACTCGATAGTTATATCAATAGAGATAAGCTCTCTATTAAAGCTCAGATCAAAGATCAAGCACAGATCAGAAAGCAATATCTCACACACTGGGACTGATCTGTGATCTGTGATGTAGTTGAGTGTGAATTGTGGTGCTCTAGCAGGCACAGCCAGCTGGCTGTGTCAAAAAATAAATAAAAACTGGTTAAACAACTCTTTAACATACTGTAGTTTTTGTTAACACAGGTTTATCAGTGAAAAGACCACGGGCATTCTCAGAGTAGAATAGGCGTACCTTCCAATGAAAGACAGTTCCCCTTCCCCCCACGGAAAGACAGATAAATGTTTTCACTGCCTATTTAGTAGCTATTCAGAGAGAAATGCGGTGACGTCACTGCGTTAACATGCATGCTCTTTAGATAACACAATTCCATATTATATTCCCTATTAGTCAAATTCTAAAAGTATGCTTTTGTTTACTCCGATAGCAAGCATATTCGCAGAAAAGGCTAAAATATCACTTTTCTCACAAAGTATATAAACAATATGGTCAGAAGGAGCACGTAAAAATATTTCCAAAATAATAATTAAATTCTGAAAAGTATGAGTTTCTTTTACTGTGATAACAAGCACAAGTATTCCTGGAAAATGGTAATCACTTAACTTTGAATGTTTTGTGATATTTAGAAAGACCAACAAATTCAATATACTGTCAATATTATTTATTATCAGTAATTATATCAGTAGCAGTTTGAAATTAATTGTTGTTATTAATAAATGAGCTGGATTTGAATACCCAACCTCAGTGTTATAAGTCGGTCACTTAAACCATCACGCCACTGACGCAGTCACGTGACAAGCAGTGAAACAGCCATAGACATATCGATAGAAAGTCTTATACTACTGTTTGTGCTACAGTACATGAAAATAATTATATCATTATTAATTTCTTTAGATACGTAGATATAATATATATTATATTCCCTATTAATCAAATACTAAAAGTATGCTTTTGCTTACTCCAATATTGAGCGTATTCACAGAAAAGCTTTAAACTATCACTATCACTTTTCTCACAAAGTACTGTATATAAACATACAGTAACATGGTCAGAAGGAGCACATAAAAACGTTTCCGAAATAACCACATGGAAGACTTTTATGCTTAAAATGTTTAGGGAGAAATGGAATACTGGTGTGTATTTTTTCTTTAAACTACCAATACCAGCAATAAACAGTTTACATAATATGTTCATGTTCCTAAATTAATATAGTTTAAGAGCATGTGAAAGGCATGGTGAATCAGAGATTCTCAAAACTTACCTTGTACGATTGGAAACGAATATGTGATCGGATCAACGAAATGCTGTGGTGTTACTTTTTGTCAATGAAAAACTAAAGTACTTTCGTTTACAAAGACGGTTACAAAAAATGAGGACCAGGGTAATACGTTGAGTTTACAGCTTGTCCAAGGTCATTCATTATTAGTACTATTAGTAATATCTTTGATGCTTAAAATATTCTGGCATAATTAAAATATTTATGATAAAGATGGTAGGTTGTGTACTTTTGTCCAACTGAGCAATCTTGCTTTCATAAAATATACCAACTTTTTAATGTATAATGATTAACATGCTCTTAATACACAGTTTAAATTTAAAGTCTAAAGAGTATACAACTTAAATTCTTAACTGAATAAAGACTGCCACTCAGCAGTGATTGGGATTCGAAACCGGGTGTTTTCTGGTGACAGCTCAAATGCTGTACATGAGAGGTTAAACTTTATTAGCTCCACCTGGCGGTTTTACAAGGTGAAACGTTTAACAATCTAATTTGCATATGGTAGAGTGCAGCATGACGCGAAATGAGGAGTTTGGATGCGACACGCCCACCACGTTGTACTGCAGCATACCACATGCTCGTTTTGAATGGCTTCATCTGTATGTCAGATCCTTTATCTAACATGAACCACTTTGTAGAAAGACATTAGTGCTGTTGTTTTTTATCAACAGACCAAAGCTGTAGCAAAGCAAAACCAAAAGGACAAAAAATTCTGGAGTCATCCCACCTTCTCGCCTCTCTCTCCTCGTTCGCCCTTTTCACCTCTCAGGCCAGGGAAGCCCTGCAAATAACAAAAGGTCCTGCTCTCAGGTTTGTGGCTTGTCATCTTTTTGGACATCTGGAGATGCCATTATTTCAGCCTGCTGGCCAAATACTATATGGATGCATTCACGGGAATCTTCCCAGAACAGTGCAATCCATACTGTCTAAAGAAAGCACCCCCTTATACAACTAATATTTACTTTTTATTTTTAATGCAGATGATAACCTGACATTTTTAAGACAATTTTCTAACAAGAAGTTGCAATACTTAACTAAAGAGACCAATTTCACCACACTACCTATTTACTTACATGCAGAGCATCTATCACTTTTGTACGGTTTCACTGGAAAAATACATTAAAAATTGCACCAGCTATAAAAACTTCTAAAAACACAATTTTCTCTCAAACAGATACATGAACATAAACATACTGTACTTACATCTAATCCTGGTTCCCCCACTTTTCCCTATAAAACAAAACAACTCAACAAACTGATCACAATTAACATGACAGTAAACGATATACTGAGTAACAGGGATGTATGATGTTTGCAACTAAGAATTAACTATAACATTCAAACATCATTAGAGAGCTCACTATGTTAAAGAAATTGTTAACATATCTATCTTTTAAATACTTAAGTGATCTCCTGTGAAATCGTTTTTCCACACTTTGATAGGTGAGCTGTTTAAAATTACAATCATATACAGATGCAGCCATTCAAAATGCGCGGGCGATACCACATTATTTTCCGGTGCACTGTACGCAGTCTACCGCGAGTTACCGTAAATTCTCCTATAATACCACAAGCAAAATAATAGTATCCGGAATTTCCGCAAGGTGGAGCTAATAAAGCTCAACCTCTCATGT